CTACTGGAAGCCATTTTGTTTGTCTGGAACCAATTAACAGAAGTTTTGTTCCTCATTTTGAAATAAGTATTTCTATAATGTAAATTCCTTAGATTTAATTTCATATTCTACGAAAAATAATTTTTAGCATATGCTGTCTCTGTAATGTACTAAATTCCACCATAAAACAGTGCTTTGCAGTTTTAGGTGCACCTCAGTCGTGAGACACATGCAACCCAAAACTGGAACAAAGCAGATTGCAAAGAAAGTTGTATGATATGAAGAGACACTGACTGGTATTGAAAGTAAAGTTAAAATTCTTGTTTCATCTTCAAGCTCAGAGCATGGAATGACGAGACAGCTGAGTTAATTTAATAGTTAATTGTGGCTGAAAAGAATGTTCTGACTTCATACCCCTTTGCCAAGCCTCTTAGACTTGATATTTCCATTGAATTTAGTGACACTTATTTTACCCTTGGATGAGCCAGTTCAGGAAGCTAAACTGAGGGGGAAGGGGAAATCCAGTAAAAAGATGATGCTTCTTTTCAGCTATTTTATTTGGGATCAGTTTCACTTGTCTGATTGTCAGCCTTGGCTGTGTCTCCATTAGCAAGCATGAGTGAATTCAGAGAGCTATTGAATGTCTGCATGGGGTTTTACTTAGGACCAGATAACAGCTAATCCAGTAGGCTGAGCACTATTTAGTAGTTTGAGCATGTTAGATCTCTCCTTGAGCACATCTGATTTCTGTCAATTTGAAAGGAATTTGGTTTGTGCACTCCCGAATTGTTCTGAGAAGTGAACTAAAGCACACTGAGTGGCAATTGTTGAGAGGTCTGCTTCAAAAGCTAACGTAGATGCCGTTGTGCTTCTGCTTCCCCTCCTTTGCCCCTTGTCCCACTTCTTTCTTCCATACGCATTCAGGAACTTGTAGATGGTAATCCTGTCCCATTTTAGAGGGTTACTCTCACTTGTATGGTAGGCTTGCCAGGCACCTCATAATCCCCATGACCTGTATGTATAGCTGTTAGATATGCTGTTAGATTTAGAATTGTATATAATTTTCAAATCATGTGAATATCTGGCACAATGTCTCTAATGGCTGTCCTATTGAAAGTATTTAAATGACTACTTAACTAGGTCTCGTTTGCCTTTTTTATGGTTATATTAATCTGTGATTGTCCTTTTGTTGAGTGAGTGAACCTCATTGTCAAAACCAGTTCTGTTACTCGTCAATATGTGACATTTTACTCCTCTGACACGTTAATGCCCTTGACCTCCCACATGTTTTCTCTCTTAAATACTTAACCATTGTATAATTCTTAGGTTGATTCTAATGAACTAATACTTTCTGATATATATGAATTACTTAGTTGAGTCCAGGTAAGTAGGGTGGATGACATATCCTTAGTCTAGAAAATAAAGTCCCTTATCCAAAAGAGATACACTGTTAGTGTGGCTTAAGTGATCTAGGATAGCATTTGACATAGGCTTAACAATTTTCCTTTTACCTCCATACCTTTTCTTCAAAATTTGCCTTGTAATCTAATTTCACTTTACTTTAAGCCAATTGTACTTCCTGAAAAAGCTCCCATGGTGTTCTGGGCGTGTTTTTATTTCCTGTGGTAACACAAGCATTAGTAGTGCATTTGCGCAGCAAATTCAGGTTAAAACCACTCCGTTCCTGCCCTTCCCCCCCCCCTTTCCCTTCTCCCCCCCCCCCCCCCCCCCCCCCAGATCACTACACAGCCACATGAATGAAGCGTGCTCATGGCATTGCTAAGGGGCAGGAAAAAAAACTACTGAAGTGGGAAGAGCTTGTTGCATCTACGTTAATGTTCAGGTGAGGAATGTGATTTCGAAGTGAAGCTCCCAGTTATTGCTACTTGCCTTGTTTTTGCCACATCACAACTTGTGCTTTGATTTGCACTGGATTCCTTTTAGATGAAACTAAATTGAAAGATGTCTCTAAGAGAGCATCTAATACATCACAAATGTCAGTAAGTGCCCAGGATACAGGAGCAGACAAGGTTTTTTTTTTAAAGTAAAATCCTCTGAATTGTTTATAGTGTCAATGTCAAGTCCTCAGCAGCCAGTGTTTTGCTTTGCAAATCTGTTGCTACTGTGCTGCGCTGCTGAATAATGGAGATAGAGCGGATGAGCCTAAGTTTTAGGTTACTGGGATATTATACTACAGACAGACAACAGATTAGCAGACTCTTAGCTGTGTCATTTTTAACACAAGTATTATGTATGTTAGTCTTCATTCATATGACACTACTGACTTGTATAAGTGAAATAGGAATAAGATAGTTTGCAAGTCTTAACTGATTCTTGGTTAATAACATTTTTAAAAATAGACTGATTGCAATAAAACATTCATGGTTTAATTTATGATTCTCTCTGTGCGGATCTGTCTGTGCGTTGTGTTAGCAGTAAAGACACCAGTGATGTGCAGTAACCTACGTATGGTGATTAGCTAGCCAAATTAGTTGTATGTAGAAATAGGGTTCTTAAGCCTAGCTAATCTTTTCTGGCTCTATCATAAAAGTTCATAATCACCTCAGTTACTAGGAGGACATCATTTTCCTACTTAATAGTGAAGTACCAAGCAAAATTATTGGAATCTAGTAAATTACTTTTTTGCATGAATTTAAATTTCTAATATTCTGACTTTTTCACGTACTTCTACAAATAAATGGATAGTTCGATCATTATTTTCGCAACATGCCTCTATAATGGCTATACATATAGATAGACCCCCCCCGTTCTAGCAGGATTGAGGAAGGTAGCGTTAAAGTCAAGATCAGTCAATAGTACTTTAATCTGAGAAATAGAATAGGCTTCCTCCCAACAGATTGATAGATTATCTTTTTTTATTTCCTTCAGAAATTTAAGAGAAGCAAGAGATAATGCTGTAGCTGAAAAAGAAAGGGCAGTTATTGCTGAAAAGGATGCTCTAGGAAAATATGATCAACTCTTAGAACAGTAAGTATGTCTTAAAATACATATCAAACTGAAGGGTTAAGTATAAATGTATCAGCAGGGTTTTAGGGAGGATGGATGACTGGTTGGACTTTCTGCTTATAAAGAATAAATTGAATTACAAAAATTTGATTTAAATGAAGTTAGAAATTTAATTTTAGGGTTCTTTCCTTTGCCAGTGCAATAACACTGTGAATGTTTGATTCTTTCCCTTCAATTCTGTACAGGTATGGAAACGTAATTAGGCATCTCATAGCAAGAAGGTGTAATTCATATTATGCTTTATCTTCCCGTGACCAAGTTCTTAATTCCCGTGACTGCTGTTCTTAATTTAGTTGAAAAATTGTTGAAAATAGAAAGTAACCTTTGACAATGATTTCAGCAAATACTTTTTGTGAGTTGTGGTTAGAGAGCAGTAATCGTGAACTGTTAGGCTTTCTAAATGCTTTTGTTACTGTTGTCTCTACCCAACCTTTCATGTTTAGCACATAAAATGTGGTGTGTAAACAGTTCTATTTATGTATTTATGTGGAGAAGGAAACTATTAGTGATCCTCTGTTGTTTACAGGCAGTTTACTCTCCTGCTCTGCGGCACCTTGGCTTCACTTTTTGTGAATTTAAACTGTTTTATTAACTATGATAAATTATAAGGTGATTTAGAACTATAGACCAGAGTCAAAGCTGTACAGGCTAAGTTTGTTGCATGTCCTTAAATTTGGACTTGATTTATGTTTAAACCAAGTCTCCCTCCAAAATGAAAAGGTCAGTGTATTAACCAATGCCACGTAGTCACCTATTGGAACAAAATAGCTGATGTGAATTTTTTTGTTTGGACGTGTTTGTGATTGCAGATAGTGATCTGTTAAAAGGCTTAACTTAAGCATGGACATGAATTAATTCAATTTATGCTGAATCCTAAATTACAGTGGTGATATTACTGATGAATTAGCATTACTCCAGCATAAGCGCAAAGAACTGAAAAAAAGCAATGCTATTTAGTTGCACAAAACAATACGGGTGGTTCTAGAGTGAAATAGCTGGATTAGAGTACCTGATGTCCACACTACGCATGTCAGGAGTTTGACTTTAGATTGCATTCAGTTGAGTACTGTGGGCTGAATGTTTGTTAGTGTTTAGAATGCATTGTAGATGTTCTTGGATTCTCAAAAAGGAATTCACTTAGCAAACTCTGAAATGACTCCACAAAGCAACTCAAAGTATGTTAAGTGGAGACAATCTGGAAGTTTTTTTCAAAATTAATCTCTTAAACCAAACTAAAGTGCTAATGGGAATCCACCCTGCGATGAGACTTGTATGCTTTCACTGTGATACAACTTCACTATGGTATGTGAGGCATTACTATCTAACTGGAAGTTCTGGAAAATAAATCTAGCCTATGCTAATTTGAGTGTGCACACTTCCTTGGTTTTTATTTATTTTTATATCAACTTTGTAATTCTTACTATATTTATTTTTAAAATTAAAAACCATGCAGGAAATATCTTTGTTCTATTGTATTCTCACTCATATCATGTGTCCTGAGCGAGGAGGATGCTCTGCCGTTTGAAACATAGGAAAACATTTTGAAGGTTTAAAAAAGTAACCTTTATGGGGGGTGGGAGGGAACCCACAACGTTTGTTAATAAACCATGTCATCTCCATGATTGATATACCCATGCCTTTGTCCTCCTCTGGCTTTTTCTGTTGATAAACTCTTCAGTTAGTGAAACTCGCCTTTAATCATTCTAATGTGATGAATAAAATTTTATGGCATTCAGAAATCAGATTATTCCTCAGATTATGTGTTTCATCTTGGTCTGAATGAAACTAGATTTGTTTCAAAGCTTCATGCTTTTGTATTTTATATCAGGAGAATGAAAAGCCCATACTTCACTTTTTTAAAACTCTTTAAAGCTCTCTCTTAACCATAGTACTGGTGTCAAGACTGTCTTTCCCACATTCCAAATGTGCTTAGTTACTTAAATGCACTGCAAAGTAACAAACTGACATGATGAAATGGAGTAAATACCTTAATTTAAAAGGTTCCAAATCCTGAGGTTACTATGCACTGAAATATAGTTCTGTAGAAAAAATCTTTCTTAGTATAGGCCAAATCCCCTAAGATAAAAGTGAAGTGAATACCTGTGAAGGGACTGCCAATGTTGTCCAATTCCAGATTTAAGTGATTGTAGCAGCTAGTTCTGCTTTATTGAAAACAAGATGACTCATTGTAGTTACTACTGGTATCATAATCTGTATAAACAAACATGTTAGGAAGCCTCAAAAGTATGTGGAATGTTGACTGGCCTGAATGGTGGTTGAATAAAGCCACTGGCAAATCTTGTGATCAGAAGTATAACTAATACCCAATTTTCTAGTCAAGTGCAGTTATTACCATTTTTCGCACTGATGCTTGTGCTGACTTCTTGTAAACAGTTGTTTATAAATGCCAATCAAATACTCAAGCGATAATACTTGAGTGTTATATTAATAAAGAAGCTGCTATTTCAGCCTTAGAGTCGATCACTATATGACATGAAAGTGTATTTTTTGTTGCTCTCTTTGCCATTTACAGCTGTAAATTCTATGTGAGACTGTATTTCATTCACCTGTGGTAGTATAAGAACTTAATGACTTTGTATTTTGAGTTAAACCATGGTGTGTATGTCACATTTGTCTTCTAGAAAATTGATGTCCAGATGGAAATATTTTCAGTTCATTTTTAATTGTTGACAATGTGATTATGACTTTTAGCTAATTTTTAAAGCTATATTGGCTCAATTGAAAGTGTCTCAGGGTTGAATCAGGCACACGACTCTATAATAGTTTGATCTTCCGCTATATTACGATGTACAGATACTAATACGTTCTAGTTTTTCCATCTCTTAAATATTCCTGGAGTGTCATTTTCTGAATGCTAATGCTGACTGCTAATCTCTTAATCAGTTCTTCTTCCAAAAAAGATAATAGAAAAGTGGAAGAAATGCAGCCTGGCTTCCTATTGCTTTTTATTAGTGGTTAAATTTTCTAGTTTCCAATAAGGTGGAAACTCAAATTGATATGTTTCCTATGATAGGGTGTTCGAAGTGGACTCTAATGTCTAATATGGGGTGAACTCATGCAAGAGCATTTCACCTCGGGGAACACCTATGAGAGCCATCTCTTGTCTTTGTTCACATCCTTTAAACCTTAAAGAAGCATCATTTCTTTTTATAGGACTCTACTGCTCCGTGGAAAATGGCTAATGATATCTAAAATTACTGAGAACACAAGGGACGCTTTTGGGCATTTGCAGTGGGAGCTATAACTTGAAAACCACACAACTTTATAAAAAAAAAAAAAAAAAAAGAGAGTTAAAATGGCTATCTCCTCTCTATAGGGAGTTAAGATATTTTTAATGTGTGGGGTTTTTTTAGCTTATTTGACTATAAACAGATGTTCAAAGGACTCTTTTTAAAAACTATTTTTGTAGCTTTGAGAATTGTCATAAACTGTTGGACTGAGTAAAGTCAGGATGATATCTACAAAAATGTTGAAGGACCTTGGATTATTATGTAACAATTTTTAGACTAATGTATATAGCTCAGCTATTTAAAACTAGTATGTGTGCAATGAATAATCTGCAAAAGTGGGGGTAAAAAGATTAGGAGTATTTTTAATGTTTCTATTTAGAAGTATCCTTCTCCAAAAAAAAAAAAAAAGGAATAAAAGTCATTGACATTTGTTGATAGCAAAGGTGTTTATGATTTGCAGGTTGAGAGAAAGTGTGCTAATGTTTACCTATTTTAACGCTTTTCTTTTCAGTTAGCTGCAAGCCATTTACACACTTTTGGAGACCTCTTTTAATCTCTCCATGAATCCTTATTACTTGGATTGCCCTACCCCCCTCCCCCCCCAATATTTTTCTTTGTTCTTCATATTTTTGTTGCTGGTTTTTAAAACTTATTTGGAAGTGAGGTTAGTCTTACCTAACTTTATCATCTGTCCTAAACTTTATAGGTTACAGAGAGAGGTTGATCAATCCTTTTCATAAAATATACATTTAAATTAGGTGAAACTAAGATCCCTATACTTTCCCATTAATTGCAAATAAGTCTAGAGGACTATCTTAGATGAAAAGATAACTGTAAATGCAAAGGAGCGTTTGTTCATTCAGTAGATTATCCAATCTCTGAATGTACAGGAATCTGATGGTTAGATTAACATTTATTGTGTTAAACATTCATTGTTAAAAGAAACATTAAAATTATTTACCCTTGTACTAACATATTTTCACAATCCTGATGTTGCCGACTGCAATCACAAGGTTCTAATCATAACATGATTAAGTCAACATATCTGTGTGCTGGACTTACTGCTAATATTTAAATAAGGGCCTATTTTCTCTTCAAGAATGTTTGTAAAATGAAGTTTTAAATAAAAAGATGTGTACCCTAATTTCTGGCCAAAGTACTTCTCATTGCTACAGCTGCTATAACTTATATAAAAATGACTGGCACATCCCTATACTCCCTAGGCATGTCTGCATTTTTCATGGCTGCTATTTGTGTGTATGAAGAGCTTTGAAATCCCTTGAATTGAAACACTGCGGCTCTTGCAAATTACCAGCACTTTGCACCTTCAGTTTGAATTAGCTTCATTAGTATTTTCTAAAATACTTTTTTTGGTATAATCGTTTCCTGCCGTTTTATTCATTGTGACTTTTGTAGTATGATTTGTGTATGTAACTTTGACAATGCCTAGGATCCATATCAGAATAAAGCTGAGCCCTTTCTTGTCATTGTTAGATCTTACCTAGATTTCGGGCCTAATCAGTGTAACTACAGGTTTCCTGTTTAAAAAAAAAAAAACAATGATCTGATTCTTCAGATGAGAAAGTTGATTACAAGGTGCAGCTAAAAGGGTGCAATGTAGATACCAGGGAAATTACTGAAAGATACCCTATTGGAAACTTAGAATCAGTGCAAAGGCGGCAGTGAAAGGACAAGTAATAGTAGTATGAT